TAGATAATCATACTAAAAATATAAGTGGCAGTTCAGCATGATAAAAGTAATCATACATAAGTTCTATATTTGCCGCAGTTTGGATGAAGACATAGATACAGTACAGGTCCTACATCACAAATCCGGCATCATTGAGACCTGTAATGTGCCGGATTACTGAGTTTGCCGAATTACAGAGTGGTTAGGTTAGAATACACTTAATAAAATTAACCAACTTGACTTATACAGTTCATTGAACATCGGCAAAAGTCGAACATTTCCGCTACTTTGAGCTCAGTTTCATGGTGCTTTTCATCATGAAAGCAATCAAAATCGTGTCTATTTCTGTAATATATCTTCCATTCTATCAAATGAGTCCAAAAAATGAGAATACAACCATAAAAACCATACAAAAATATACTGCAAAGAGGCGGCTAATGGCTGAGAAGTGAACTCCCTTATTTATCGTCCGTCTTTTTTATTTTTGTTGTACATTAAGAAGCATCTTTCAATCATACATTACCCAAGTTTCAGTGAGATAGCCCAACAAACAACCGAGAAAAAAAAAAAATTATTATCACACTGGCCGATTCCCACCAAGGCAGGGTGGCCCGAAAAAGAAAAACTTTCACCATCATTCACTCCTTCACTGTCTTGCCAGAAGGGTGCTTTACACTACAGTTTTTAAACTGCAACATTAACACCCCTCCTTCAGAGTGAAGGCACTGTACTTCCCATCTCCAGGACTCAAGTCCGGCCTGCCGGTTTCCCTGAACCCCTTCATAAATGTTACTTTGCTCACACTCCAACAGCACGTCAAGTATTAAAAACCATTTGTCTCCATTCACTCCTATCAAACACGCTCACGCATGCCTGCTGGAAGTCCAAGCCCCTCGCACACAAAACCTCCTTTACCCCTCCTTCCAACCTTTCCTAGCCAACCCCTACCCCCCGCCTTCCTTCCACTACAGACTGATACACTCTTGAAGTCATTCTGTTTCGCTCCATTCTCTCTACATGTCCGAACCACCTCAACAGCCCTTCCTCAGCCCTCTGGACAACAGTTTGGTAATCCCGCACCTCCTCCTAACTTCCAAACTACGAATTCTCTGCATTATATTCACACCACACATTGCCCTCAGACATGACATCTCCAGTGCCTCCAGCCTTCTCCTCGCTGCAACATTCATCACCCATGCTTCACACCCATATAAGAGCGTTGGTAAAACTATACTCTCATACATTCCCCTCTTTGCCTCCAAGGACAAAGTTCTTTGTCTCCACAGACTCCTAAGTGCACCACTCACCCTTTTCCCCTCATCAATTCTATGATTCTCCTCATCTTTCATAGACCCATCCGCTGACACGTCCACTCCCAAATATCTGAATACATTCACCTCCTCCATACTCTCTCCCTTCAATCTGATATCCAATCTTTCATCACCTAATCTTTTTGTTATCCTCATAACCTTACTCTTTCCTGTATTCACTGTTAATTTTCTTCTTTTGCATACCCTACCAAATTCATCCACCAATCTCTGCAATTTCTCTTCAGAATCTCCCAAAAGCACAGTGTCATCAGCAAAGAGCGACTGTGACAACTCCCACTTTATGTGTGATTCTTTACCTTTTAACTCCACAAAAATCATATATGGCAAGCCCAAGCCAGGTACTGGAAATAAGTCACTTTGTCTGACTTTTCTGGGTTATCCCAGGTTCTCTACACATACACTGCTATGTATGATAATTTATGTAACTGTATTTGTGTATACCTGAATAAAATTATTTACTTCTAGTCTGTCAACTGAGTACAAGAAACTGCCCGTTCACTTATTTCAACTACCCAATAAAGTGGTCAGAAATTTGCAATTCGGCCGATTTCACACAAATTTCAACAGATACCAATTTCAAAATAGGGTCTGGAATAAACAGTGCAGACATTCCTGGCACTAAAATAACATATTCTCTGTTCATTAGTCATGGCTACAGGCCCCTCTTATATTACTCTTGCTTACCATTTGGAATTTTTATTCACAAAAAAAAAAAAAGACTTACTGTTATGCAGACTACTGCATTATTGTAATAATTGTATAAAATAATGTCAATCCATTCTTGACTCCGTACTGGAATTTAGACTGGCAGGTGGACAGGTATTGGACGGCGATGTCATTTGTTTACTCTGGAGCTTCGCTAAGGAATAGAACATTTTCGCTACTGTGAGCGCAATTTCAAGGTACTTTTCGTCATGAAAGCAATCAAAATCATATCTATTTCTGTAATATATCTTTAATTCTATCAAATGAGACCGAAAAAATGAGAATACGTATAACCATAACAACCATACAAAAATATACCGCTAAGCGGCTGCTAATGGCTGAGAAGTGAACTCCGCTACTTATGGTCTGATTTCTTTCATTTTTGGTGTACTTGAAGAAGAATCTTTCCATCATACATTGCCCAAATTTGAATCAGATAACCCAACAAACAACTGAGAAAATAATAATAATATATTAATAATAATAATAATAATAATATCTTTATTTACTACACGTACATGTACAAGGTATACAGGCCTAGCTGGCATCAGTGACATACTACTGTATAGAAAGCCACTTGTTATGCTGAGTATTTCAAGAAAATTAGGTCAGTGTCCCAGGATAACACCCACACTAGTCGACTAACACCCAGGTACCCATTTACTGATGGGTAAACATAGACAACAGGTGTAAAGAAACACGCCTGATGTTTCTACCCTGGCTGGGAATCGAATATTTACCAAAAGTCATATATGGTTAATCCAAGCCAGGTACTAAAAATAAGCCACGTTGACTTTTTTGGGGTTATCCTAGGTTCTCTACACATATGCTGCTGTGTGTGATAATCTGTCAAGAGAAAATAACTTTTTTGTTTCATGTTTATGGTGGAGTACGAGTGTATATCATAGTTAGCCCTGTGCTATACTCCGTTTTCTCTAATATAAGCCACCAAGACAAGGATAGGAGAAGGGTATTTGTTTACTATATCCTCTTCATAACTCTGTCGAACTGCTCGGTGTTATGCCAAATGTTATTCATTCTTGAGTATTTAACATGTTCTATGTTATTTATATTGTTTCTTATGTCATATTAGATCAATTGTGATAGGCAAATAAGCTGTAGTGTTGATATTAGCATAATAATAAAGCATATTCTCCTGCATCATGAGACTGAGCTCATGACAGCCGACAGTAGCTTCAAAGCCACCTTATCTTTAATGGATAATGTACTGTGTAGGTGCTTTACATAATGAGAAGCATTTCTTTTATTCATTGGAACCATGGCTAGGGCTAAAAGTAAGCAGGGTAAAACAATAAATGGAGAAAAAGAAATTGGAATGACTTGTGCAGCAAGTAGCGCCACCAAACAGTACCAGCAGGTTGGTGTGGCGACCCTGGAAATTTGAAATTATGCTAGCCAAAATAAGTGCCGAATAACTGAAGGTACCGAATAACTGATTGCCGGATTTGTGATGGCGGACCTGTACAATGTAATCCTTTATTAACAATGCTTTGCCCACACAGTGGGCTTTATCAAGTCACAAACAGATCTGTGAGACATTGTGACTTGATAAGTCCCACTGTGTGAGCAAAACATTGTCAATAAAAGATTGTGTTATATTGTTTCTGTGTCTTTATCCATCTTGTAAATATTTTATACCATTTCTTTCCATTTTCTGCAGGTGTCACGCTTTGTTTTTTCACTAATATTAACCCTTTCAGGGTCCAAGGCCCAAATCTGGAGTCACGCACCAGTGTCCAAGAATTTAAAAAAAAAAAATTGTTATTTTTTCTTATGAAATCGTAGAGAATCTTTTTGTGAAGGTAATAAAACAAAAAGTACGAAATTTGGTGGAAAATTGACGAAATTATGCTCTCGCGAATTTTGATGTGTCAGCGATGTTTACGAATCGGCGATTTTGCCGACTTTGACTCCCATTTTAGGCCAATTACATTATTCCAATCAACCAAATTCTTAGCTATTTCACTAGTATTACTTCCATTCTATCGATTGAGCACAAGAAATCGCCAAGTCAACTGTTTCAACTACAAAATAAAGTGATCGGAAATTGTTAATTTGGCCAATTTAACACAAAGTTCAAAATATTCCAATTTCAAAATAGGGTCCAGAATGAACAATGTAGGCATTCCTGGCACTAAACTAACATTTCCTCTGTTCATTAGTTTTGTTTTGAGGCTTTACAAATAAATTCCATTTTGATTTTTTATTCACATAATGAATTTTTATTCACACCAAAAAATAGAAGATTTACTGTTATGCAATACTGTAATAATTGTATAAATATCATCACCATATTTGTGAATGTATATTAGACCCACCAGCTGACGTGTATTAGATGTGTGAGGTCGTTTGTTTACTCTTGAATATCGGCAAAAATTTAACATTTCCGCTACTTTGAGCTCAGTTTCAAGCCATTTCCAATGCTAAAACCAGTCAATCATCTCTATTTCTGTAATATGTCTTCCATTCTATCAAATGAGACCAAGAAATCGCAAATACAACTATAAAAAGCATACGAAAAAACACTGCAAAGTTGCTGTTTTAATCGAAAAATCATGATTTCATTTTTTCTCTCTCATTATACACAGTGTGCTGCAGGATCTGTTTTATGTGGTGCACACATACCACATAGATGTATTCTCTCATATCTAGGCCCAAATGTACCACTCACAGTTTATCAGAGTGAGCTGAGCTCATGGCATAGATCTACGGTTTGGACCCTGAACGTAAAGCCGTAGATCTACGGGACGGACCCTGAAAGGGTTAACCATATATAACCAGTATCCAGTCAGTTGACTGGTTTTCTACTCAGATTGGCTCAATGCTAAATATATATTCAAATAAAATGTCTTTATTAAACAGTTATTATAATTTATAGAATTTATAATGAAGATTGCATTAAATTACCTTTATGAGTTTTAATTTTTTTGTGACTGTAATAGTACATCTCAATTTGCCCAACAGATCTGCTGGATCTTGAGCCATTGCCAGTAACAGCCCTGAACAGCTCAGAATTGGAACAGCTCTACAAGTTTACTCACTTCAATCCAATCCAGACTCAGATATTCCATTGTCTGTACCATACAGATAACAATGTATTGCTTGGAGCACCCACTGGCTCAGACTGTTGCCGCTGAGAGTGCCATGTTTAGACTTTTCCGTGAGATGCCAGAAGCCAAGGTAAGCTTAATTTTGTCTTCTTGTATGTAATTGTAAGGATGCATTTTTTGTCCTAGATAGATAAACGTACATTATTTATTTCTACAGGATTACATTGGGTGACATTTGATTGTACCCATGGAAATCCCTCTGGTTTGTCATAGCATTTCTGGCAAGCTAAAACTTAAGACTAGAGACATTAATTCTATTGACGGTAACAAACATCCACACATGAGAGTATATTATAAGTGTAGCATGGTGCATGGCAATATGAAAAATGAAATATAATAAGTCTAGCTAAATCAAGTGTTTACATTGAAGCATATATGTGAACAGTATTTAGATAAAGGTAGGGAAGTTTTTATTGCATTTATGGATTTAGAAAAGGCATATGATAAGAGTGGATTGGGGAGCAATGTGGCAGATGTTGCAAGTATATAGAATAGATGGTAAGTTACTAAATGCTGTAAAGGGTTTTTATGAGGATAGTGAGGCTCAGGTTAGGGTGCGTAGAAGAGAGGGAGACTACTTCCCGGTAAAAGTAGGTCTTAGACAGGAATGTGTAATGTCACCATGATTGTTTAATATATTTATAGATGGGGTTGTAAGAGAAGTAAATGCAAGGGTCTTGGCAAGAGGCGTGGAGTTAAAAGATAAAGAATCGCACATAATTGGGAGTTGTCACAGTTGCTCTTCGCTGATGACACTGTGCTCTTGGGAGATTCTGAAGAGAAGTTGCAGAGGTTGGTGGATGAATTTGGTAGGGTGTGCAAAAGAAGAAAATTAAAATTGAATACAGGAAATGTAAGGTTATGAGGATAACAAAAAGATTAGGTGATGAAAGATTGGATATCAAATTGGAGGGAGAGAGTATGGAGGAGGTGAATGTATTCAGATATTTGGTAGTGGACGTGTCAGCGGATGGGTCTATGAAAGATGAGGTGAATCCGAACTGATGAGGGGAAGAGGATGAGCGGTGCACTTAGGAGTCTGTGGAGACAAAGAACTTTATCCTTGGAGGCAAAGAGGGGAATGTATGAGAGTATAGTTTTACCAATGCTCTTATATGGGTGTGAAGCGTGGGTGATGAATGTTGCAGCGAGGAGAAGGCTGGAGGCAGTGGAGATGTCATGTCTGAGGGCAATGTGTGGTGTGAATATAATGCAGAGAATTCGTAGTTTGGAAGTTAGGAGGAGGTGCGGGATTACCAAAACTGTTGTCCAGAGGGCTGAGGAAGGGTTGTTGAGGTGGTTCGGACATGTAGAGAGAATGGAGCGAAACAGAATGACTTCAAGAGTGTATCAGTCTGTAGCGGAAGGAAGGCGGGGTAGGGGTCGGCCTAGGAAGGGTTGGAGGGAGGGGGTAAAGGAGGTTTTGTGTGCGAGGGGCTTGGACTTCCAGCAGGCATGCGTGAGCGTGTTTGATAGGAGTGAATGGAGACAAATGGTTTTTAATACTTGACGTGCTGTTGGAGTGTGAGCAAAGTAACATTTATGAAGGGATTCAGGGAAACCGGCAGGCCGGACTTGAGTCCTGGAGATGGGAAGTACAGTGCCTGCACTCTGAAGGAGGGGTGTTAATGTTGCAGTTTAAAAACTGTAGTGTAAAGCACCCTTCTGGCAAGACAGTGATGGAGTGAATGATGGTGAAAGTTTTTCTTTTTTGGGCCACCCTGCCTTGGTGGGAATCGGCCAGTGTGATAATAAAAAATGATAATAATGAAACATTTGACAATATAGGATTGTTAATCTGTGTTATTTTTTTTCATATTGTCTGTAAGCTTTACCCTTTTTCTTAAATATTTATATCAGGACCTTTATTAATTCATACGACTATTAATTTATTTTTAAGATTTAGAAAAAAAAAAAAGGGATGATGTTACAGTTGGAGGGTAATCTGTGTTATCTCACTTGTGGAAACATGGCAGTTGAGTGAATGTGTTGTCATTTTTGGAAGTTTACTTTGGTCAGAGACAGCCACTGAGTTTAAAAGAAAATGAAAAGACTATTGCATAAGGAATCTTTACAAGAAAGGATATTTACTGGATGACTTCATTCTAACAGTCAAATGATTTGCTGAAGTTATCTGATTGATATTTATTGGTTTTGCTTTTATTACAACAGATTCAGGGTTAATTTCCTGTCAGTGGAGTGCACTTAAAACCGTATTAACTGTTTTCTTTGTCTAGTGTGTTAACCTCAGTAATTTCATATTAACCTGGATCCAGCCAGTTGTAATGTTTATTTTTCAGGCAGTATATATTGCACCTCTTAAAGCTCTGGTTCGTGAGCGTGTTGAAGACTGGCGGGTCAAGCTGCAAGACAAGTTGGGCAAGAATGTTGTGGAGTTGACAGGTGATGTTTCTCCAGATATACGATCCATTCAGGTAAATGACTCTTTCAAATTGATGAGAGATGTATTAAATAATTGATATCTTAAAACAACTTTTTTACAAGCTGAATTATTTATCACAAGGATCGCTTCTTGTCCCATTGTTGAGGTCAATTTTTACCATGCCTACCACTCCTTCAGCAAATGTTGATAGCTTCAGATTGTTAATGAATCTATCTTTTTTTTTTTTTTTTTTTTTTCACCCCCCTCCTCTTCTTACTTTCCTCCAGTTAGTTTTAAAAAGGGATATACACAGTTAACTGTCAATTATGACAGTAGCAATATTCTTGAAAATGGTGTCTAAACCAAATTCAAGAACTTTTTTTTTGTTTTTTTTTTCAACAAGTCGGCCGTCTCCCACTGAGGCAGGGTGACCCAAAAAAGAAAGAAAATCCCCAAAAAGAAAATACTTTCATCATCATTCAACACTTTCACCACACTCGCACATTATCACTGTTTTTGCAGAGGTGCTCAGAATACAACAGTCTAGAAGCATACACATATAAAGATACACAACATACCCCTCCAAACTGCCAATATTCAAGAACATATGGGAAAAATTGGGTATGTTCCGTGGGCCCCCAAAATGGCAAACTTCTTTTTTTTTTCCCCAAGTTTTGCCGATATTCAAGAGTAAACAAATCATGCCACAAGTCCAATACTTGTCAACTGGTGAGTCTAATGCAGTGGACCACCGACCAACCAAGGCATCATCTAATGATAAAATTGAATTAACGAAGCATTTTAGCGTAGAAATTTTGGCCTCACCAACATTGAAAAACTCGACTAACATCATTCGTCCTTAATGATGTTAGTTGCTTCCACGCATACATTCAGTACATTTTGTATTATTCCAGTGTTTTTAGTACTTGTAACTGCTAAATAAGCCACCATGGGCCCAAAGAAAGCTTCTGGTGCCAATCCTGTGGTAAAAATGGTGAGAATTACAATTGAAATAAAGGAGATAATCACAAAGTATGAAACTGGAGTGCATGTCTCCGAGCTGGCCAGGTTGTATAACAAACCCCAATAAACCATCACTACTATCTTGGCCAACAGAAAGGTATTCAAGGAAGCTGTTGTTGTGAAAGGTGCAAGTATGTTTTGGAAACACAGATTGCAAATACTGGAAGATATTGAGAAATTGTTATTGGTGTGGATAAACGAAAAACAGATATCAAAAGATGGCATCTCTCAATCAGTCATATGTGAAAAGGCAAGGCAGTTGCATGATTTAATTAAAAAAAAGGCCTGCAACTAGTGATGCGAGTGAATTTAAGGCCAGAAAAGGTTGGTTTGAGAGATTTAAAAATTGTAGTGGCATACACGGTGTGGTAAGGCATGGTGAGGCTGCCAGTTCAGACCAAAAAGCAGCTGAAAAATATGTGCAGGAATTTAAGGAGTACATAGAGGCTGAAGGGTTAAAACCCCAACAAGTGCTTAATTGTGATGTAACAGGCCTGTTTTGGAAGAAAATGCCAAACGTGACCTACATTACACAGGAGGAAAAAGCACTCCCAGGAAACAAGCCTGTGAAGGACAGGGGTACTTTAATGTTGTGTAGTAATGCTAGTGGGGATTGCAAAGTGAAGCCTCTACTCGTGTATCACTCTGAAACTCCCAGAGTGTTCAAGAAAAACAATGTCCTCAAGGCTAATTTGTATGTTATGTGGAGGGCAAACAGTAAGGGATGGGTTGCTAGGGACATTTTCTATGACTGTTTTATCATGTGTTTGGCCCCACTGTGAAAAATTACCTCCTGGAAAATAAATTGGACCTTAAGTGCCTCCTGGTATTAGACAGTGCTCCTGCTCATCCTTCAGAGTTGGCAGAGCAAATTTCGGAGGAAAATGAAGCTTTTCCCTCCTTATACCACTCCTCTCCTCCATCCCATGGACCAGCAGGTCATTTCAGATTTCAGAAAACTGTACACCAAAGCAATGTTTCAAAAGTGCTTTGAATTGACCTCAGACACTCATTTGACCCTAAGAGTCTTTTGGAAAGATCGCTTTAGTATCCTCAATTGCATAAACCTTATATGTAAGGCTTGGAAGGGAGTGACTGACAGGACCTTGAGCTCTGCTTGGAGGAAATTGTGGCCAGAATGTGTAGAAGAGAGGGATTTTGAAGGGTTTGGGGCTAACCCTGAGAAGCCTATGCCAGTTGTGGAATCTATTGTGGCATTGGGGAAGTCCATGGGGTGGGAGGTTAGTGGGGAGGATGTGGAAGAGTTGCTGGAGGATGATGATGAAGAACTAACCACTGATGAGCTGCAAGAGCAAGACGACACAACTGAGGAAATTGCTTCAGAGGAGGGAAGAGAGAAATGGAAAAAGTTGCCTTCTTCAAAGATTAAAGAAATTTGTGCAAAGTGGGTTGACGTGCAAACCTTTATGGATGAAAATCACCCTGACACAGCTATTGCAAGCCGTGCTGGTGACTTTTACAATGACAATGTTTTGGCCCATTTTGGGAAAATCTTAGAAGAACGTGAGGTACAGAGCTCTATGGAAAGATTTTTGGTGCGACGGAGGTCCAGTGGCTATCAAGTTGATCCCATTGGCATTGAAAGAAGAAGGGAAGTAAGCCCGGAAAAGGACTTGCTACCTAAAGTCCTTATGGAAGGGGATTCCCCTTCCAAAAAATAATACACCTCCATCTCCCCTCCTTCCATTTCATCACTCATCACTGCATCTTCAAGAAAGGTGTCACTTATTCTTCATTTAGTACAGTACATGTATTTATTGTGCATGTATCCTTCTTTTTCGGTGTAGGAAAATGTATATTTCATGTGGAATTTTTTTTTTTTTTCATACTTTTGGGTATCTGGAACAGATTAGCCCTTTCAGGGTCCGTCCCGTAAATCTACAGCTTTACGTTCAGGGTCCAAACCGTAGATCTACGCCATGAGCTCAGCTCACTCTGATAAGCTGTGAGTGGTAAATTTAGGCCTAGATATGAGAGAATACATCTATGTTGTATGTGTGCACCACATAAAACAAATCCTGCAGCACACAGTGTATAATGAGAGAAAAAACTGAGACTGTGATTTTCGATCAAAACAGCGACTTTGCAGTGTTTTTTCGTATGTGTTTTATAGTTGTATTTGCGATTTCTTGGTCTCAATTGATAGAATGGAAGATATAATACAGAGATGATTTTGATTGGTTTTGGTAATGGAAATGGCTTGAAACTGAGCTCAAAATGTTAAATTATTGTTGATGTTCAAGAGTAAACAAACGACCTCACACGTCTAATACATGCCAGCTGGCGGGTCTAATATACATTCATAAATGTGATGATGATATTTGTACAATTACAGTGGTCCCTCGTTTATCGTAGTTAACCCGTTCCTGGAGTTGCTACTGTTATCGAAATCTATGATTTTCGAATCAATTTTCCCCATAAGGCATAATGCAAATACAATTAATCCATTCCTGATACTCAGAAGTATTAAAACAAAAAATTTTTTTACATGAAATATAGATGTAGTACATATAGATGTTTGGGCGTTTGATAAAGGCACCTAAAAACCCTGTCAGCTTTTGAATCCGGTCATTGTATCACTTATTTTTGAATGAATCTGGTCAGTGATTTTGGACTAGGTTGCAAAACGACTACTGATATATTATTTAACAGAGTAATGTGTTCAGTTTGATATAAAAAGTATAACTTGCATGTTGGAGAAACTGGTGACTTCTGGCAGCTCCTACTGATGACGAATGGCCTGAGATGGTACTTCCTGTATCACTATTTAATTTTTCTCATTGTGTTCCTAACTCCACCACACTAATTTTTATGGTATCACTCATTAGCTAAGGTATAGCATCTATGGTAGAAAGCTTACTGGAGAAGTATTGGCTTTCTGTTGAGTATACAGTGGACCCTCGCCTAACGATATTAACCCGTTCCTGAGAGCTAAACATTAGCCGAAATTATCGTTAGCCGAATTAATTTTCCCCATAAGAATAATGGAAATCAAATTAATCCGTTCCTGACACCCCAAAGTATGAAAAAAAAAAATTTTTACCACATGAAATATTAATTTTAATACACACAAACTGAAGAAAACATGCACAGTTACATGGCACTTACCTTTATTGAAGATCTGGTGATGATTGATGGGATGGGAGGAGGGGAGAGTGTTGATGGCATTAGTGTTTAGTGTCAATGGTCCAAGTCGGACCGAAACATCGTTGTAAGCTTCTCTCTTTTATGTGCAGGTTATTTGTGTATTGTTCCAGTTACGGTATTGTGCCTTTTTGTTATTTATTTAAGGGGAATCCCCTTCCATTAGGACTTGAGGTGGCAAGTCCTTCTCCGAGGTTACTTCCCTTCTTCTTTTAATGCCACTATGACCAGCTTGAGAGTCACTGGGCCTCTGTCGCACAACATATCTGTCCATAGAGGCCTGTACCTCCCGTTCCTTTATGACATCCTAAAGTGTTTCACAACATTGTCAGTGTAATAGTCACCAGCACGGCTTGCAATAGCTGTGTGAGGGTGATTTTCATCAAAAAGGTTTGCACTTTAAGCCACATTGCACATATTTCCTTAATCTTTGAAGTAGGCAACTTCCTCAATTTCTCTATCCCCTCCTCCGGAGTAGTTTCCTCAGGTTTGGCCTCTTGCTGTTGAAGATGATCTAGCAGCTCATCAATGGTTAGTTCTTCATTGTCCTCCTCCACCAACTCTTCCACATCCTCCCCACTAACCTCCAACCCCAAAGACTTCCCCAATGCCACAATGGATTCCTCAACTGGCATAGGATTCCCAGGGTTAGCCTCAAACCCTTCAAAATCAATTTTGTCTACACATTCTGGCCACAGTTTCTTCAAAGCAGAGGTCAAGGTCCTCTTAGTCACTTCCTCCAAAGCCTTACCTATAATGTTTACAAAATTGAGAATGCTAAAGTGATCTCTCCGAAACTCTCTTAGAGTCAATTGAGTTTCTGAGGTCACTACAAAGCACCTTTCAAACATAGCTTTTGTGTAG